TTAATTGCACATATTTAAAAACAAAACACATGGAATGAGAGAATACTGGTATATGGAGCTGAAAATGTAACCCACAAATAAGTAAGGATAAGAATAGTGAACAAAAGCTAAATAAGATCATGAGAGCAATGTTTAGTTTAATTGCACACACTGAAAAACAAAAATCCTAGAATCCTAGGACTGGAAGGGACCTCGAGAGTCATCGAGTCCAGTCCCCTGCCCCCATGGCAGGACCAAATACTGTCTAGACCATCCCTGATAGACATTTATCCAACCTGCTCTTAACTATCTCCAGAGATGGGGATTCCACAACCCCCCTGGGCAATTTATTCCAGTGTGTAACCTCCCTGACAGGCAGGAACTTTTTCCTAATGTCCAACCTAAACCTCCCTAAAATCACATTTAACAAAAAAATACAAAAAGTATAAAAAAATAAAACTTAAAAACTTGAGCAGTTTTCAGTTTCCTCTTCTCTTAGCAAATTCTTTTTATATTTGGTTTAATACCAAAGATCTGGATTTGCATACCTGGCGCTGCATTCAGTCCATTTCTGTATTTTGCTTTTGTTGCTGCATAATTCGAGAACCCAGTTTCACACAAGTACGTGCTGGGGAATGTTAACTGACGAATTGCACGTCTTGATACAGCTGGATATTCTTGGCATAAGCTGCTCCAAAATATAATCAAACTGCTTTCAATGTCTGTATTAATCGGCCATCTGAAGTGATTTCAATCAGGTTTGCATAATCTTGCACAGAAAAAATGAGGCGGAGGCAGCTGCAAGGCACTGGGACAGGGCAGTCCTGTGGGGTGGGGAGGGGGCTGCACCATGCCCGGGGGTCTGCTTTCAATGTCTGTATTAATCGGCCATCTGAAGTGATTTCAATCAGGTTTGCATAATCTTGCACAGAAAAAATGAGGCGGAGGCAGCTGCAAGGCACTGGGACAGGGCAGTCCTGTGGGGTGGGGAGGGGGCTGCACCATGCCCGGGGGTGGGGCGGCCGCAGTGGGTGGTGGAGGGGCCAGAGCCGCCCCCCAGAAGCCCGTCCCTGCCAGCAAAGCCCCAATGGGAGCTGCCTGGGGGCTCTGCAGGAGTCGGGGGAGCAGAATTTTTTGGGGAACCCCAGGGCTCCACGGAGCACCATGGGGAACACGGTAACAGACTAGCAGGTTGACTGGAGCAGCAGCGTCCGTGGGG